CCCCCCCCCCCTTTCTCGCGGACTCTCTTTTCACTTTTCTTGCCTCCTTTTTCCTTCCATTTCCCCCCTTCTTCCTTGCTTTCACTGCCCATCCTTGTTTCCTTTTCCTTTTTTCCCCTTGTCCTTTCTTCCCTTTTTTCCTTTTCCTTCCCCCCCCTTTTTTCCCTCTCTTCTTCTTTCGTGGCTCCCCGCCAAGGCTGGCGCCCGTGTGCGCCGCACGCCCTGTACATGCCCTAAGTCCGGGCCTGCACCTCCGGTGTTTTTTCTCCCTAAGGATATCAAATGTCATTGCTGTAATTCGCACCCCGTTGCGTGAAGTCAATGATTCGCCTTCAAATGGCCGCGTATGCAAAATGACTGCCGTGACGCACGAATAGTGGTATCAGAATTTTGCATTTTGTTTATGGATTGATTTGAAGGCGCTCCTCTGTATCCTTCGTGAGCGGCCTTGTACAATGATGTTGACCAAAAAGTTCATAATTTTGGATTTTATAATCGAGCCGCATATTCGGAAAATGCCGAGGAATATTATTTTGAAAAAATAATAAGATTGTTTTTGGTGTCTACGTCTTATTTCGAAGAAGCGAGCGCAGGCTGGCGCGGCTGGATCAGATTGTGTATTTTAAGTCCCTTGATTCGGTCATCGTATTCTGAAGTGAAACTGGAAGAGTTGCCGTTCACAAGATCGCAACTTGCGCAAAAGCAGTTGTGAATTTAAAAAGTTTCGCACGGATAAAATGAGCTTTCTTTGATTAACTGTGAATAATCAAAATTGAAGAAAAGGTTCTTTGTCGACTGGTCCATTAAGAAAGCGTATAGCATGGATGGATGGGAGCATCGATGACCAACTAAATCCAATCTGATAAGGAATTTTAAGTTTGAAACCCTTTTTTTCAGTCTTAAATGATCCAAATCCACCAATAAGTTTAAAACACTAATTGCAAAAATGTGTATCTCCCGATGAAGTATCGATTCTTAGTGCCAAAAACGCGAATCTCGGCATTTCTGCCGTATTTTCTAACAGTTCGAGAAATTATTGAAACTGCTAATTCAATAATTGCAGTTTCAATAATTTCTCGAACTGTTAGAAAATACGGCAGAAATGCCGAGATTCGATTTTTTGGCACTAAGAATCGATACTTCATCGGGAGATACACATTTTTGCAATTAATGTTTTAAACTTATTGGTGGATTTGGATCATTTAAGACTGAAAAAGGGCTCCAAACTTAAAATTCCTTATCGGATTCCTTATCAGACTTTTCTTAACTTTAGAATAACTTCCCATAAAAATTATTTGCTACTAGTGTTCCCAAAAACGAAATCTCGGACCAATACATCCAAATTATTTCTTTTTATCATTTCACAGCTGAAAAATTCGCCGGGTGGCTAATAAGACAACAGTAATGAGGATGATTTCTGCTTGTACGCCTCTTATCTGATTTTTACTTGCCTGACAACGTGAGTATTTCTCATACTAAGAATTTTGCGGGATGCACCTCGTAAGTTTGACAGTTCCTTCAACTTTAGAAATACTTCCCACCACACACCACATAGAACGTGCACTGCTCTCTGTTGGGCAGTACACGAAATGCTTACCCTTCGTAATCGAATGATGTTCCTATGATTGCAGGTAGAGGTAGCTAGTGTCGAATTTGGTTTATCAAATCAGCTGTAAACATGGTTATTTGGGTTCTCTCGAGCTTTGAACTTTCGTCTTGAAGACTGACAAGCTCCTAACTGTGCGTCACTTATTCTTATTCCCTTGTCGTGGGTTTAAAGTATGGTTAAAGTCGGGATCTTGATTTTGAGAGCTCAGTTTTGAAACACTTTTGTTTTCTGTTTTTCCTTGCCGCAGCCGCACCTATTTGAACATTACCTGCTGCCGGTATCTCACTCTGCCTGAGTCCTTATCTATTCTTCCTCGGCTTTTTCAACACAGTTCTTTTTTGTCGAATCTCGAGTTCGCTGATCGCCTTCGGACATCTAAATTATAGTTGAAAGTGTTCATCAGCTTGATTTATATCGAGTTGACTTGGTGAGTTTTATTCATGTAAATTAGTTGAATATTCACATCCTCTCACCTTTCTGCCCAGTGTAACCAGTCAAGTTTGTATACTCTTGGAATTCTGCCCCAAGTGCCCCAGTCGAGGATGTGAGGTGTCATTTTGTGTCAATATTCCTCAATTTTTACACTTTACTCTAACCTGTAACCAAAGTCCTTGGCCCAAATCTTGTTGGTTGATGGTCAACAGCTTGGTGTGAAACCTAACCTCTGAATTTAACTTCAAGTTTTAAACATTATCAGTGATCCCAAGGGTGTGGATCTTGTCTATACCGGTGCAGATTGCGTACAGATCGACTTTCATAACTGATCCGCATGCATGAAATCATAGAAGAACGAAGCAGTCAATAGCAGCACGGAAAGCGGCAGAGCGTGCGGGTTTCGCACACGGAGCATCTGGGAACATCGAATATTATCCTAGAAACTCAGGCTGTTAAGTAGCTTCCAACTTTGTTAACATGTAGAACATCTGTTCACGGATTTCGTTAGGAAGGAATTTCGGAGGATTTCTAAGGAAAATTTGCTCTAAAGGGCTTTTTTTTTTATCGCGGATCAGGGTGGATCGCAGTGGAACGCACTGGATCGGAATCCTGAGCAATCCGGACCGATCCAAGTGTTACAAGTGATAAAAAAATCCAAACTTGGAATTTTGTTCGATTTGTTATTGTTTTGATTTTTTGGGGACGGCAACTTCCTCGTATTAGGTTAGGATCACAGTGGATCGCGAGCTCGCCCCACCTCGGAAGAGCGATCCTGCGTTCCACCCTGATCCACCTGGAACGCTAGGATCACGCTAAGGAACGGAATAAAAAAATACCGATGTTCATCGCGATCCACCGCGATCCACCGCGTTCCACTGCGATCCGCATAAAAAAAAAGCCCTTAAGTGTGGGCTCCTGCATAGCTAGTGATGGACTGTAACTTACTTACTCTACATCGTTGAGAATCCATTGTCTTGGAATAGGCAGCAGTTCGATTTCTTGACTGAATTTATTCTAATATTGGTCCATTTTTGTATATTTACTGGCAATGTTGAATTTTGGCACCCCCAAATTTCCTTCTTCTTAGCTTAAGCTACTCCAGAAGCTTATCTTGCAGGCGTCTTTTTGTCTGCCTTAGCATGTAATATGAGTACCACAAATGTATGTATGGATGTAATCCATTTCTGTGCGGAAAAAACGGTGAGGTATGTGCTTTGATCCTATGCAACCTCCTTTTATATTGCATGTAAAATTATTGCCAGGACTCATGGCAGGTACTTGAGTTAGCTGCAAGGGCACCAAAAATTCGCTGGCGGATGAGTTTGAGCTCTTACCCAAGAATGTAAAATCCAAAGGTTTTCTCTAGGCGGGCACGAAGTAAATCTCCTGTAATAACTTTGTTAGGTACTTTTTTCTTGTACTAATTCACACTATAAATCTTTTTTTTTTTTTTTTTAAAAAAAAAAACTGTAGAGGGCTGTAATTTTTTAATTTTTTTTGCTTTAAACGCAGTTTGAAGTATTTTGCAAAGTGAGAAAATTTTGAGGCTGAGATTGATTGCGACAAATTTTTTATCTATAAAAATTTCTGCACTTCCAGTTTGCAATTGTTAAATTTACACCATTAAGTATGGGTAGCAGACTGTTTTGCGCATCAGTGTTGCTGTCCTTTATGGAGTCTCAATTGCTGATGGATGGCTGCAGCAAAGTCGCTTGCAACCAAAAAGTAAAGAACTGCTAACATTTGATGCAAGTTCTAGGTATTTTTATTTTCAAGTTGATTGAGCTCTCAATGTTTTTTCTTGCTTGCCTCAGCTCTGCCCAGACCTACTTATATTTCATTTTAATGTGTTACGGTTTTTTTTTCCCCAGGTGATAAATTTTTTTTGGAGTAACTCGGAGTAACTCAAAATGGAGCCTTCTGTTAAAGTCAAAGAAGAACTAAACTTTGAAGAAATATTTGTCAAAGAAGAATATGAGTCACCTGAAAGCAACAGCATTGTTCAAACAGATGTAAGGGAGGACCCCTTATTTATAGATGTAAAGGCTAAGTCGGAGCCTGGCTCAGTCCTTGAAGAGAACGTAAAGAAAGAATGTGATATTGGAGATTATGATGAGAATCATGTTAAAAGCCTCTCTGAAACTTCTCTGACGGTCAATGGAAAATCTTGCGAAGAGGGAACTAAAAGCACTACTGATCCTCTGATATCTGTAGAATGTAAGCCAGAAGTTACTTTTTTCTCCGAGGGAGGATCAAAAAGCCTCAATTTAGATTTTGTTGAAGCTCCCTCTTCTGCCAGGAATGCTTTTATGTGCGTGTTTTGCCGCCACACATGTCATTCTAGATTAGCTCTGGATAAGCATGTTTTAAAGTGTAAGGGCCGAGAGTCGCTGCAGTATTTGGAAACCATTGGACAGCAGTTGCATTCAGGAGCATTCCAACAGCTACCCAAGACCACTTCAAGGAAAAGGAAGCCAGCCGAAAGGAATCACATCTGCACTTTGTGTGGAAAAGCATTTCCAGCGGAAAGTAACTTGAAGCGGCACATGTACATGCACACTGGCGAAAGACCATTCAAGTGCGATCAATGTGATGCAACATTTAACCAGTCAGGTAACCTGCAGACGCACCAGAAACACCGCCACTCAGATTTGCGACCGTTCTCATGTCCTATTTGCTCAGCAACATTCAACTGTAAGGCAACTCTGAAGCTTCATGTCATTGGCCACTCGGGGGAGAAACAGTATGAATGTGATCTTTGTCAAAGGAAGTTCATGCGGAGAGATTCGCTCAGGGCTCACATGAGGAAGCATTCTGGAGAAAGACCATTCGTCTGTGATATTTGCCAAGCAAATTTCGGCCAGAAAGGTTAGATGAGTGTCTCATACTTCTCTTAATCAATTTTTGAGAAGATGAGATTGTCTCTAAGCTTTGTCCATTAAGGTATATAAGAGCTTTAAGGTATTTCACTGTAAACTATCTCCTGAAACTTTTGTATCCATTTCCATCGAAGGAACCTTTTGCATACCCCATAATGGGTAACTTTGTTTTCAGAATCATACTTTTGAATCTAAAATTATTGTCGACTCGTCGTGTCTTGCAGGTGTAAATGCATTCAATCAAAATGAGCAAAGTAGTCCTTTGCCAAGATTTTCTGGTTTTCGGCTACTCAAAATGCGAAAACAAAAGTTGAGATATTAGCCGACTTTACAAATATAATATACATTAATTGCGACTCGGACCATGCTTTAATTAAAAAAAAAACAATGTGAAAGAGGATGTTAATATATATTCACAATTCTACCTTAACATGGTGGAACGCAAATTTTTCGACCAACACTTTGGTCTTCATCAGTGCAAAGGAAAGCATAGACAAACAATCCTCATTTGAAAGCAATTATGCGTAAGGAGTTTATGAGGAGGATGCGTAGGAGTGTTTTTTCATGAAAATTCTTTGTAGTTAATCTTCTTTTTCGAAAATGAGTCTTAAAGTGGATCATCCCACAGAAAGATTCGAAAAGCTGAGCAGAAGATCTAATGTTGCACTTCAAAGGAACCCTTTTAACTCGCCCGAATAATTTGGTTGTATTGGTACAAAATTTTACAGTCTTAAATCAGTTCAATACCTATCCATTAGAAAAGAACTGTTGACACTTTCTTCTAAAATAAGAAACCCAGGTTGACCTTATTCTGAACCCAGGAATAGATTTAAATTTTAAGTATAAATTTTACTCCTTTAACATTCATTAATAGTATTTACTTGGTTTTGACAGGTAGTTACACAATGCACATGAGGAAGCATGCAGATGAGAAGAGGTTTGGTTGTGCACATTGTCCAGCTCGATACCTTCAGCGCATCAGTCTCCAGCTTCACCTCCAAAAACACACTGGCATAAAACCGCACAAGTGCGAGACATGCGGTCAAAGTTTTGGCCTCAAGGCTCACTTGATTGCACATCAGGCAACACATACAGGCGAGAAGCCGTACGGCTGTCCTGAATGTGATGCCAAATTTGCCCGAAAGGCTTATGTGGATTACCATATGCGCACCCATACAGGAGAGAAGCCGTTTGCATGCACCATCTGCTCGGCCCGGTTTGCCAGTAAAAAAGGGTGGAAGAGTCATATGGCATTCCATGAAAGTGAAGGTGCCATGGCCTCTGAAGGGGATGAGGCTAAGTGGATGGGTCACATGATGTCAAATGAAAGTGAAGACTCCACGGCCTCAGAAGAAGAGGAGGCGGGATTGAAGAGCGCCATGACATGGTTTAAAAGTGAAAGCTTCATGGCGTCACAAGGAGAAGAGGCAATCGACTAAATGCTGGAAAGATGTTGATAACACTCCTCAACAACTCTCACGGTGAGTTACTCTTCATTATTTCTTTTCTATCTATTCATAATCATCATAACATCAAGAGAGCAATTCTGCTGTGTTAAGGAAGAACGTCGCATGAAAATTCAAGAGTTGCCAAATTTATTTTGATAAAATATTTATTTTTGAGGAAAGTTATGAATATATTTCCTTGACATTTTCAGGAACTTTAGATCAAAATACGAACAAAATTATCTGAGGAACTGGCAGAAAAATATTCAAAAATTTTCCTGAAAATTAGTGATTTGCCAGAGAAAATTTGGCAGCGCCTTAAGGTTCATATGGCGTTCTTCCTTAGCATGGCAGAATTGAATCCATGATAGAGGAACTCACCTGGAAAAGGACCCAAAGCCCCATATCCTATTTTTCTTGAAATTTTCCTTTTGAATTCCCTGCACCTTGCTGTCTACGTAGGTACAATTAAGTTATTCCCAGCAAGCAAGTCAGAATAATTTCCCAATTTTTAAGGTCTCCATTTCCAATAGAGCCGCACAAGTCTATCCTTGATAAGTGCATTCCTAGCCTGTTGTCCGCCGAAATTGTGAATCAAGTGTGAACCAAACAGCATTTTTCCAACACGGCAGCTTATGATCAAGTAATTTTAATTGATCATTACTTTCGCGAATTTTGGCAAATTATATTGCCCAAGGACTTAAAAAACTAAAAGATTTAAGAAACTCCCAGTTTTTATGACGTACATTTTATACCTAAATTGAGGTATGAATTTTATCACACGAAAATGAAGGACAATCTTAGCTTTTCGCCTATCTCAACTTACTGACGTTTATTAATATTATGCACGCATCGTCATCAAAACCGCTTATTTTCCGCGACCTTGAGTTGAAAATCATGGGATCCTTAATGTTTTAGGGCATCCCCTAAAAACATCGAGTATACGCGGTATCATTCCGAATTAGAACTGCGTATTTTTTTATGATTTTGAAAAACCGCTGGAAAAATCGAGTATTTGTCGCGGTATTGGGGGTGAATACCATGTAATTTCCCACTTTTTTACAAAATCGCTCAGGAAACAGCGTATTTTCCGCTGCTTTTAGATGGAATGTGCGTTATGATTTAACGGATGCACTGAAACAATAACTTATTTCTCGTAATCTTGAGATGAAAATCGCGCGATTTTTCATTTTTTTACGAAACCGCTGCATGAATGGTGAATGCGGGTAACATGCTCCCAATGTCAAGTAAGAAAATCAAGCACGCAAATATTCGAACTCCGGAGTGGGTATGTGGTATCACGCAAAATTGAAGGAACATCTTAGCTTTTTCCCGTCTCAAATTACTGACGTTTATGAAGACAGGTATTGTGCTCGCATTGTTGAATGCGGAAATCAAGCGCGCAGCTACTCGAACTCTGGGTTATAGGTATGTGGTATCACGCGAAGAAAAAGGAAGAAAAATCTTAGCTTTTCGTCTGTCTCTAATTACTGACGTTTACGAATATCATGCTCGTATACCGTTATCAAAATCGCGTATTTTCACACTGGAAAAAAAGTTGCTTGGATCTAGAGTCTAGACCAAAGACATGAAGACGGAGGGCTAAAAGCAAAAAATGAAGCTTCTTTTCAACCACCTCTACTATTGGCTAGAGGATTGGCGGGGACATCGGGACAAGTTTGAAATTCAAATGTAGGGCGGGAACTAAATAAAATTGCGGAAACAAAGTATTCTAGGTTGATTTTTGCCCAAATTCACTTACCCACTCATATTTCTTTAACTTTAAGTTAGTTTTGGTCCGTCGTCGACCGATTAATTTCATTTGGGAGTAACGGTCATCTAGCACTGTTACGGCCTGTTTGAACCTGCAGAACCACCATGAGCAGAAGAAAAACTAACTTTATCTGAGATTACTGCCTGTTACTGAGCAAAAGTAGGTGTATTATATTAGGACGCAGACCGAACTTTTTTAATATAATCGTTTTAGGCATTTAAAACACGTTTAGAAGAAGAAATAAGGAAAAATCAAGAGGACAAGTTCAAATCAAATTTCCGTTTGCCGCCATGGATTCCCGCGCTCATTTACACACTCACACAAGCACCCAGCGCCAAACCAGGCTTCACTTTTTTCCCGTGCTTTTAGATACGAGCACTCCGTCTTTATGTCTTTGGTCTAGACTCTTAAAAACATTGACAAGAAAAAATACTCTTGAATCAATCGGATTTTTGCTTAAATAGAGAACCAAGCCTCCGAATTTAAGAGGATTTCTTTTTGATTCAAGCAAAAATCCGATGGAATCAAGAGTATTTTTTCTTGTCATTGTTTTCAAGAGTCTGGACTCTAGATCCAAGCGACTTTTTTTTCCAGTGATTGTATTGATGTGAGAAACGCGTAATTTCGATCGATGAAGAAAACACGCATTTCCCGTGATACTGAGATGTAATCTCACTTTGAATCTCACTCATTGATTTCCTCCCCACACCTTCATCTCCTCATTTAACGATGGAAGTAAAATACCTGCAATCGTCATTCGAGCGCATTTGGTTAACCAAACTGTTTAGTTTTTTTTCTAGCCTTGCGTTTAAGTCTCGCCCAGAAAAGGGCCGCATGATATTCCTATAATCATTTTTCACATGGATATCGCGGCATTCATAAACGCCAGTAATTTGAGACGGGTGAAAAGCTGAGATTTTCCTTCATTTTCGAGTGATGCAAAAACCCACATACCCACTTCGGAGTTGGAAAAGTTGCGCCCTTGAGCTCCTCATTTGACAATGCGAACTTAATACCATGTCTCATTACTGATGCGGCTGTCTACTGAAGCACTGAAAAATTACGCGGTTTGCATCTCAATATCGCAAGAAATACGATATTTCTTCATTGATTTTGTATGTAGAAGCGAATATACGCAATAATCACCTCAGGATCGTGGCTTCCACGTAATTTTTCGAGCGATTTTGAAAATCAAGGAACAAAACGTAATTTTTACTTAAAAAATTAATCAAAATCCTCCCGGAAAATAATGTATTTGCCGCGGATTTGAGGTGAGAAACGCGTAATTTCTAATAATCACACAATACCGCTGGAAAAACGGCTTAATTTGAGCGATGTTGCGTTGATTATAGCGTAACCTCTCATTTTTCTATCTTCATATTCATGTAAAAAATCGCGCATTTCCCGGGAACCGAGATGAAAAAAGCATAATTGTGTATGAAGCAAGCAGGGTGTCTACAAGTCCGGAATTTTCGGAAAGTCTAGAAATAGTAATGATTTTTCAAGGGCAGTCCGGAAGTACTGAAAAAGTACGGAAATTCCGCAAGGAGGTCCGGATTTTTTTTTTTCATTTCTGTCGCAATTTGAGCGAGAAATTCAAATTTTTGAAATGTTTCGAATTTCGTCAATCGGAGGTACTGAAAAAGTACTAAATTTTCCCGCTGAGGAGGTACTGAATTTTTCGGGAATGTACTGAAAAAGTACTGTAAAAGTACTGATTTTTGGCCAGCCTATTTTAGTAGACACCCTGATCAAGGAATCCGCTGGAAAAATCGCGTAAACCCCGAGATATCGACGCCGAGAATTTGCCGAGGTATTGATTTGAATTACGTGAACATTTTAACGATTCTACAAGACCGCTGAAAAAATCTTGCACATGCCGCGATATCGCGGTGACTATCGCGTACTTTCTCAATAATATTTACAAAATCATTGAAAAAATCGCGCATTTCTCGAGACATCGAGTTGAAAAGCGCGTATTTTTTCAGGATTTAACGAATCCGCCGCAAAATCGGATGAGCCTCGCGAATTAGAGATGAGATTCGCGCAATTTCTCACGTTTTGAAAGGCGGAAATCGAATGAGCAACTATTCGAACTCCCGAGTAGGTATGTGGTATCACGCGAAATTGAAGGAAATTCTTAACTTTTCCGAGCTTAAATTACCGAGGTGGATGAGTGTTATGCGCGCATCGATGAAACAAATCGCGTACTTTCCGCGGAATAGATGTGAAAATTGTATGTGATCTTTATTGTTCTTGATCAACCAATGAACGCGAATTCGATGTAAATAAAGCGTAATTTTTTTTTGGTTCTGCAACACCGTTGAAAAAATGGCGTACTTTACCTTACCTTACCTTGTGGTGATTACCTCGTAATTTCTCATTTTTCCACCAAAACTTACAAAAAATCGCGCATTTCCCATGATACCGAGATAAAAAGCGCTTAACTGTATAGGAATCACCGAATCTGTTGGAAAAATCGGGTAAGCCTCCCGATTTTGAGATGAAATTCGCTTAATTTCTCACGTTTTAAGACACGGAAATCAAACGAGCAACTATTCGATCTCCGGATCTAGTATGTTTGTACTTGTCGCGGTATTGAGTTGAAAATTGCGCGATGTTTCAAGTTTTTACGTAACTGCTGGGAAAATTGCGCATGTGCCGCGAGTTCTCCGCGAATGATACATGCATCTTAAAGTTTTCCACTGCCTATTTCATTGTCGCACAACCACTGTGAACACTTCACAATTTGCCGTGATTTTTCCGAGGCATGATGAGGAATCTATTTGTAGTAATGAAGGAGACTTGCATGGATTGACTTACAGACTGACTGGCTCCCTCGCGTATCAGTGGATCTCGGAACCGGTCGGTCGCGTCACCCTGAGATTCCGCCTGGGGATCCTTCCCTCTCGACCCCCAGGCAAAAGTTCCAGTGCCAAATTCCCTGCGAAAGTGAAAAAATTGCTCTGCGGACCCTTTCATTTTTTTTTGCGTGCAAAAGTTTAGCGGAATGTATGCTTAGCAGAACCTATTTTTTTTTTTTTTTTTTTTTTTTTTTTTTGCAAAAGTTTAAGTGCTTTAAGTTTGAAAGTGAAAAAGTTGCTGTCCTTTAGTCTTCACGTCGCCTAGGTTACTATTTGAATTGCTAGAGTTTAAGTGTGAAAGTGAAAAATTTGCTGTTTTGGTTTTAATTTGAAGTTGAAGCTGTTTTTATCGGGAT